GGGGGGCGGGGGGTAGGGGGGGCCCTCCCCCGCCCCCCCCCCCCCTTTCCTGCCCTGCCAGGCCTTTTTGGGGGAAACCCACGCACTTGTTTTTATTTTTAACTCAGGGGGTCTCTCCTAACCTTCCTACCAGACCTAAAGGGTCTGGTATGAATCTGAAGGTGGACCCCATGCTGTTTTTTTCTTTTCTTTTGCTTACATTTTTTTTTAAATTCTGCTCGCTACCTCCAAGGTAGCAGGCAGAATAACTGAGCCGGATGCTGCTCGGCAGCATTCGGCTATTCACTCACTTCCGTTCGACCCTTATGAGAATAGGGGCAAATGGCGGAAAGTGGACTGCTGGAGGTTCAGCTCAGTCGATCCAGATGCTGGATCGGCTGAGTCAAACGTGTTCTTCACTTCAACTCAGCCGAACATGCTGAGCATGTTCGGCTGCACCAAAGGGAGCAAAAGTCAGCTGACGTACAGCTGATTTCAGCCGTACAGGGCTGAAGTGAATAGCCAAACTGCTCACTTCACTTCGCAGCTTAATAAATAACCTCCTAAGTGTTAAAAGAAAATGGTCAGGTATCACCATATCCTCATATCACCTTCTCAGAATCTATTCAGTTGGGTTTTTATTTACTTAAGGCAAATAGCCTGTTCACTTTGTAAGGGAATTTTAACTTTGCAAAGGAATTTTATCTTAGCATAGTTATTTATGTGATGCTCTGCTGACTTCCATCATCCAATCATGTCCAAGCAAAAATACAGTGAGGGGAAACTGGAGCAGACAAAATCTGGAGCAGCTGTACATGGCAACCAATCAGCTTCTCTCTTTCATTTTCAAATCTTAACTCGACAAACTAAAGACATACGCTGATTGATTGCCATGCACTGCTGCTCCAGATTTTGTCTGCTCCAGTTTTGATATATTCCCCTCAGTGTTTTTGATTTTTGCTTGAATGGGAAAGCTTTTATGTGATATTACACACATGCGTCAATAAAGACGTATTTTCCACCACTTTGGAGTGCTCCTGTCTTCCCATGCTCGTATTCTGACAGCGACATCCATGTGTCACCGTTGCACCCGCTAATATTTTAGGGGCCATACGGTAAGGAGTGTGATAGGTTCATGGACATTTTTTTTTCCCCCCTTGCACACAATTGGGTATTCTATGCAAAGTGAATTTTCACCACATTCACTAAGCTAAGTGAATATTTCCTTCCCTTACAGTTCCTTGACAGAAAAATCAATTTTTTTTAATGGACTTCTCCATCACTTAGATATATAGTAAACAGAACTTATTGAATAGATTCTGACAAAGTGATATGAGGACATGATGTCATTCGAACTTGGTACATGAATGGGCATTTGTTTGCAAATATCACAATTCCACAATAGGCTTGTTTATTTGTCCATAACTGTATGATTACTTACAAAGTAACATATCCTAACATACATACATACTAATACTTATATATACACTGTTGTTATACACACACACACTAGACTTTCGTTTGCCAATATTTTCTTGTACAACTATTTCTTTTCTTTGTAGTTTTAGGGGAAAAAGTTGTCTTACTGTAAATAAAAATAATATAGTTTATTCTATAGTCTGTCCCATTTAAAATTATACTAAATTGATGTTTCTTGTATAAAGCGTGGCAAAGACATTTGCAAAAAAAATCAATTTTGCTTGATTTGAAAAAAACACAGAGAAAACAAAGCTAAAAAAAAATTAATGGTAGAAATTCAAGCTAAAAAGTTGATTAAGGCTGATTAGGGTTAATAAGAGGTTAATTAGAAATAAAATAAATAAAATAAGAAAATTTTTACTTGTAAAGTTTTTTCTTAAGTAATGTCATATGGGTGCTTCAAATGCAATTTAGTATTGAAAAATGCAAGGTTATGCATTTGGGAGCAAAGAACATGCCTGCAAACTACTATTTAGTAGGTCTACTAGGGAAGTCAGACATGGAGAAAGACCTGGAGGTCCTGGTAGATCACAGATGGCAATAGTATGCAATGCCAAGCAGCGCCAGCAAAGCATGCAGCATAATATGCTGCATTAAAAGCGGGATTTTGGCAAGAGATAAAAATATACCGTATATACTCGAGTATAAGCCGAGATTTTCAGCCCATTTTTTTGGGTGAAAAGTGCCCCCCTCGGCTTATACTCGAGTCAGCGCCATGTATCATCTTACTTACCTCGCCGAGCGTCGCGTCACTGCTGCTCCGGTGTGCGGCGCTCCGAGCGGGGTCATCTGGCAGTCTCCAACCACTTACAGAGCTAGGTTATTGTTTTTCTTTTAAATAAATATTAATGTCATTTTATTGGTATCTATCTACCAGTAGCTGCCTCATTTCCCACCCTCGGCTTATATTCGGGTCAATACTTTTTCCCAGTTTTTTTTGGTAAAATTAGGTACCTCGGCTTATATTCGGGACGGCTTATACTCGAGTATATACGGTAATTGTTCCATTCTATAAATCGCTGGTTCGGCTACACTTAGAGTATGCAGTTCAGTTTTGGTCACCAATCCTTAGGAAAGACGTCCTCGAACTTGAGAGAGTTCAGAGAAGGGCTATAAAACTTATAAAGTGGTTGACTTTTTTAGGATGTATCACTTAATTTAAAAAATAAAGTTGATAAAAGCCTTTAAAACAACCTTAACCAAATAAAACGTCCCCTTCACCTTGACCTTCCCATTGACTCCAATGCATTTTCACAAATTGGTGAATGTTGTAGATTATGGTTCCTTCTACACAGTGCTACTATATAGCATCCCATTTAGTTTATATACTTTTTCTGTTACTTTTACATTAATAAACAAAAACTTGGCTTATTCCTTGATCGCAGTATTGCCCTTCTAAGATAAACAAGGTTTCAACACAAAACTTGATGGGAATCTTTCAAATAGTAAATTTGGGTTTATTCAATAATGCAGTGCAAATTATATTAATATCCATTACAACCAATTGCATGTCTTTTTGAAGATCAGTAAAAGTATTTCTGCTTGCTATAAGTAACTGCATTCTAGTCTTCAGCATTGCCAAATATACCAGAATATGTATTTTATATTTGCACCCTCCTGTTTCTCAGATTATGTTGATTGCATAATTTTCTAAGGTCCCTGTACAAATATCAAGGCCATGGGATGCCATCATTGCCATTTGTAGCTCTCATTTTACAACAGCAGTTGTTAAAGTGGACCTGTAACCCCCTTTCACTAAAAATCACATCATCATGCTGATTTTAAATCATATTACATTCATTAGTTTAAAAAAAATGTTTTGTTTTTTTACAAATAGAGTTTATCCACTTACTGGTCCACTATGACACAAATGATGTAATTGTCCCCAGGCATTGCATCCTGGGAAGATTGCATCAGTAGTGCATTGCTGGGAAATCTCATCTGTAATCTCACGAGATCTCAGGGAAAGGCATTTTCCTCCCCTGAGATGTGCATGGTCACATGTCCTAGTCACAAGTCTAGTCACATGTGTCAGAAATCCAGGAAGTAATAGGAGAGCTAGTAATCTGCCCTTAGTAAACATGGCTGCTGTCAGAAGACTGGGGAAGAAAAGAGAAATAAGAAATGCAAATAATACAAAGCCTGCAATTATCTAGAAGTATGTGTTTGTAGATTGTCATTAGTAAACATTTCTAAAGGTGTGTTGGTTGTCATTTTAAAGATATGGGTAAAGTTCCCCTTTAAGTTAAAGCAGGTGTGCATATTTGGCCTTGGCAATCATTTTATGCTAAATAAATCCCCTTTTTTTTTTTAGCAGTGTAGGTGTTTATAGTATCATTTTTTTCCCACTGTTAACCATTGCAGGTTTTTGTAGCTGGTTATGCTTCTTTATCTTCCCTCTAAACATCATAGTTTCATTAACAGCCCAATTATTTTTTCAAATATGACACAAAATATTTAAAAATGCATCAGTGGGGGACACAACTCCACACAACTACTGTGCTTAAAGAACTCCAGCAATTTAAAAAACCCTTGTGGGGCTAGCCCTGCACTTCAAGGGATAAGTGCTTGTTTTTTATAAGGGGCTCGTAAAAAGCAGATATACTTACTTCATGCACGGTCTTGCTGGGGTGCTAGACCACTCCCTGCAGCCTCTTCTCCCCTCGGCTCCAGGGAGGTCTAAGGACCACTGACTTGCATTAGATGTGAGGACACTGAGGGGAATTCCACACAGCCAGAATGGAGGGGAGAGAGGGGAGCACTGACCACAGTTGAACCGAGGATCAGTAAATCTGCTTCATTTGACCCTCCCTCAGAATTTAACTCCTGAAGTAGCCCCACCGCAGGTGTACATTTTTTACATTTCCAGAGTTCTTTTTTAAATAAACTGCACTTATGGATAAGTCAAAATGTGTCAGCTTCATATTTTTACACAAATCATTAACTTTTTTTTTTTTTTCTTTTACTTTTTCAGATATAAGCACTTGGTGATCCAGGAATGATATTTCTAATGGAAGATATAATTTTAAGACGTAAAACAATACAAAGTTCTTACTAATTACTATTTAAATTGTAATGTGCTGCTGATTTTCAGTTTTACTTCAATAAATTTTCAGGTCCTAAACTGTGAAAGTATTTATTGTTCTGAGCTGGCTACCATTTACTGTTTTCCCAAAGCAATGTTAAACAAGCTTTGATGGTTAGGGAGAATTGCTATACTTTAGCATGACTTGAAGAAAGGTCGTGATGGCCCTTAACCACTTGGAAGTGCCGTTGCCGCTGCGTTCCAGCGTGGAGCGCACTCGGCGACAGCGCAATGACGCGGGTGTGCGGCGCCGCTGCGTTCCACGCTGGAACGCGGAAGTGCCGAGTGGAGCATGCGGCTCCTCCCACCCGCACTTCCTCAAACATTTAAAACCGGCTTGGGGGAAATGAACGGCGTTCCCTTATTGCAGTCTGAACGCCTGCAAAACCCCAGCTAACGCTAACCCCTATCCTTAACTGGATGAAGTGACACTGCCTGCCTGCAGCTCCTGGGAGACCCCCTGATCCGGACCCCAAAACCATTGGAGCTGTGCCAGGAAGCAACCCCCAGGATCCGGATAAATACCTTGCGGCCTTATACTATCTGCTTTTGACTTTAATTTACCTCCATATTGGATATATTACCATTGATGCATTTATTACTTGATTTTGACTTTATTTTACTTTCATATTGGAGATCTTACCAGGGATGCATTTATTAATTGCATGTGACTTTAATTTACCTTCATAATTGAGATAATACCATGTAAGCATTTATTACTTGCATATGTCTTTAAGTTAACCCCGTACTGGAAAGTTCTCTATGGACTCTTAAGATAATTGGATGTGAATCTAACATATGCCTTTGTTACACAGTGATTACACCTGCAATACTAGGAGGTGTCTTTAAGTTATCTACAGATAGGGGGTATGAGGTAATACCTTCCCTGCCTGCATTATAAAAAGATCCCCAATTATTCGGGCAGATGATGTAATGAACTCCAAACTCTTTGCTTAAGATTAAGATTGACGCCTGGAGTTCAGTACTTGGAGTGCCATACTTTGAGGAATACACCCCTTAACTACTGCCACCCCTTCCTCCGCAGTTGTGGTTCATACTCGTTCACTGCAGGACGTGACACCACTTCATGTCCACAGCAATTTTTGCACATACATGTTAAAATCAAAAATTTGGGCTAGAAAACTGCTTACAACCACTAATCAATTATATATTTTCTAAAAGCAGAGGTCATTTAGAATAAAAAAAACTGCTAGTTGCAATGTGTTGATATTTGCACAAATGTTTATCAAATTGATATTTGTAGGAAACAATACACTAAAATAATTTTAATAGACACAAACACAATATAACCCACATTTTAGGAAAATAGAAAAGATGGGGTTGTGTCAGGCAAATAAATACCATACATGCCAAGCATTAAAATTGCACACGCCCATAAAATGGCAAAAAATACAGAGTTAACAATAATTGATAGCACTAAAATGATTGCTGTCACTCTCAAATTCGTGGCAACATGTAACATGTGGTTCAAACATCAATTTCTATGTGATAGCACAGAGGAAATGACAGTTCCTGTTAGGCTCCTAATGTCACCAATGGACCCCACAGAGACTAATGAAATACAGAAAGTGCTTCACCAGCTTCAGCACAAGGTACAGCGGGCAATGGCGGCCGGATAGGGGGGGTGTCACACCTTTCAGCGCCATACAGTAGAGCCAACCGATCACTTGTATGTGAAAAGCGACAGTCGGCTGAAGAATATTACTAAGTTTAGAGCTGCTGCTGGCCTTTTATATTGCAATCTTGAAGTGGTTAATTTTGTTCTTGTGTAGAACTGCCGAGAGGTAGGTCACTGCATAGCCATAGGCAAGTGCGGCCTGTTGCATTAGGGTGTGTACACAAATATACAAAAACATACACAGACCTGAGGCATCCCCTATTTCCATCTCTTCAACTCTCCCTTACCTGAGGTTATATGACTACCATCCTTGCTTCCTGATTGGATGGAAAGCCAGAGCCACACTCCCTTGCAAGCTTCCCAAGCACCAAGGACTGCAGGTGTTATGTGAGGAATGTCAGTGGAAAGTGCTGGTGCTCTTATCATTGCTGAGCCGGTCACAGAGAGATCTTTGTTGATGGTGAGTGTGATGGTGCTGAGGCGTTATGGGGGGAGTTGTATACTGGTATGCATAATGCAAAGGTAATTGTTGGAGTTTGTTACAGGCCCCCCAGCGATAACGAAGAGATAGAGACTTAGCTCCTAAAACAGATAGAAAGGGCTGCAAGGGCGGGGACAGTAGTATTAATGGGAGATTTTAACTATCCTGAGGGCTTGTTCACACCAAGAAAGAGGAGAGAGAACTAGAAAATATGGCACATGCATGAATCTATAACCGGCCTTTGTTCACACCAAATGCAGACCAGATCTGCATGAGTTTCTGCACACGCAGTGCAGTGTGTCATACTGCGTTTTTGATGCGTTCTGAGCCGTTTTTGGTAAAAAAAAAACAAAACATTTTTTTAGTTTAAAATGGGCTTTCTGTGTGTTCCAGGGTGTTTGCATGCGTTTTTGATGTGTTTGCATGCATTCCAGAGCGTTACAGAACAGGTAAAAAAGGGCTTGCTGCAGTTTTTTTACATGCTCTGGAACTGAACGCTGCAGTGTGAACTGGAGCACAAAATACCAATGGAATACATTGGATGCAGTTTTGATCCGGTCTGTAACTGCTCTCCTCTGCTCCTGGAACACGCTTGGTGTGAACTAGCCCTGACATTGATTGGTGTAATGGCACTGATGGAACAGTAAAAGGGCGGACATTTCTAAACTTATTGCATGACAATTGTATGGTACAGTTTGTAGAAGCCCCTACTAGAAATGGTGCTCTGCTGGATCTGGTCATCTCAAACAATGCAGAGCTTATTACAAATATTCATATTAAAGAAATACTGGATAGCAATGACCATAATATGATTTCATTTAACTTAAGTTGTAAACAACATTCGCATACTTGAAAAAAAAAAAAAACACTTAGCTTCAGGAGAGCAATTTTTCCCAAGCTGAGGGCTGCTCTTGAAGACTTAGACTGGGAGGGAATAGTTTCATCAAAAAACACAGAACAAAAATAGGAATGTTTCAAAACAATTGTTCGTAACCACACAGCAAAATATATTCCAGTAAGCAATAAGTTTAAAAGGCTAAAACCCATGTGGCTGATATCCAGTGGCGTAACAACCGGGGGGGCACATGCCCCGGGCGCAGGACTGAGGGGGGGCGCCGTCACGACCCCCGCTAAACAAAGCCCCTGGCTCAATCCAATGTTAAAAAAGCCATAAGGAATAAGAAAAGGGCGTTTTACAAAATATAAAAATGAAGGAACACTGTCGTCATTTGAAAACTACAAAGAATATAACAAAATATGTAAAAAGGAAATAAAGCTCACAAAGATTCAAAACTAACGACAGGTTGCAAAAGCGCGCAAGATAAACCCCAAAAAATTATTTAAATATATTAATAGTAAAAAGATCAGGTCTGAGCATTTAGGCCTCTTAAAAGATAACTCGGAGTTGGTAACTGGGGACAAAGAGAAGGCAAATCTATTAAACACTTTCTTCAGCTCTGTGCACACCAAGGAACAGGATGTATCTCAAATCCATAACGGGGATAGCAGTGCCATAGCTTCTAATGAACCACATTGTCTAACTGTTATTGGACCATATCAATAGTTAGCCAAAGTTAAGGTGAACAAAGCACCTTGACCAGATGGCTTACACCCACGTGTCCTCAAAGAATTGAGCTGTGTAATTTAAAAGCCATTGTATCTCATTTTTAGAGACTCTCTAATAACTGGCTTAGTACCGATGGATTGGCGCAAAGCCAATGTGGTGCCTATATTTCAAAAAGGTCTAAAGTCTTTGCCAAGTAATTACAGACCTGTAACTTAACTTCAATAATTGGGAAGATACTTGAAAGTTTGATCAAGGATCACATGCAATTGTTTTTGCTTGAAAATAATATCATAAGCGATAGTCAGCACGGATTCACAAAAGACCAAAGTTGTCAAACAAACCTACTTTCTTTTTATGAGGAAGTGAGTAATAAATTGGACAGAGGAATGGCTGTGGATATAGTAAACTTGGACTTTGCAAAAGCGTTTCACACAGTTCCCCACATGCGTCTAATGTATAAGTTAAGGTCAGTAGGTATAGAGCAAGGGGGCCCACAGTTTTTTGTCTGGAGATCTACTTTTCAAATGATGAGCTCAATGAGATCTACCAACAAAAACCACATCCTTTATTTAAAAAACAAGCACATTAAAATCGTTACTGGGACTACTGCCTCTCTCTCTCCTCGTGCTCTCCCCAGTATCTCTTTCTCCTCTCTGCTGTCTCTCTCTTGGCTGTCTCTTCTCGCTCTCTCTCCTCGCTCTCTCCCCTGTCTCTCTTGCGCTCTCTCTCTCCTCGTGCTCTCTCTCCTTGCGATCTCTCTCTCCTCGTGCTCTCTCTCCTTGTGCTCTCTCTCCTCGTGCTCTCCCCTGTATGTCTCTTTCCTCTCTGCTGTCTCTCAGTTGGCTGTCTCTTCTCACTCTCTCTCCTCGCTCTCTCCCCTGTCTCTCTCTCTTTGCTGTCTCTTCTCTCTCCACGCCCTCTCTGCTGTCTCTTCTCTCTCTCCTTGCGCTCTCTCTCGCAGCCTTCACATCTCAGCTGTCACAGGAGTTCCAGCACAGTGCTGTGCTAGAACTCCTGTAACGCCACCTGGTCCTTTAGATCCTTTAGTAGCCCATGCAAAAGGTATGGTGATAGCAATTCAATACAATGTTTGAATGCAAAGAACTAATCCAATAATGTGTAATGATATCACAGCTCTGGTTGTGGCGGGTATTGCTCACCACCCAATGCAGTGGCCTTGTGTGCATGTTGCTGAATTACAAATGAGATGGCTGTGAGTGCAAATTCTCAGGTGACCACCTTTTCAGAGTTTAACTAGATTGGACTAGCCTTAAGGAGACCAAGGGGGAGACTCTGATGGTAGTAATCACGTGGT